TTCTGTCATAGTCAGACCTAAGTTTTTTAACAGAGTAACTTAAGATACAAAAGGTTGAGAGCCACTGGTCTAAATTATCATCTTAAAATGGCACGCCTGTCTACATTTAGTTATCACTGCTGCTTTTATCAGCAAAATAGAGGCATTATTTTCAAAGTGATTTAATAGACTTCCATTTTAACAGGGTCCTATTGTGATGGAGCTACAGACCTATCGTTATCATGGGCATAGTATGAGTGATCCTGGAGTAAGGTACAGTAATTTTCTGCTGTTGCATACAGAGTTATTGAAGTGGTGAGAAAAACTAGATTATTTATCCTGGACCATACTCAAAGAAAAAGCAGAAAATGCAAGGACTTTAAATAGAAACTAGGGAGGCATGAAAATTCAGCCTAGAGAATAAGGCTACCAATCTATTCTACTACATAGCCTTATACTTTTTAATAGTATTATTTCCTTAAGGAAAAATAGTATCTAGTAGCAAAATAAAAATATTAAATGAGCAACTTAAAACAGGGATTTTCAAACTGGACTGTATTCTCTCGCTACCTTGCAGGGATAACGTGATAAAGCTTATGGGAGCAAAGCAGGAATCTTGACAAAATTCACAATGGGCTTCGTTTCCCGCTTGGCTGATGTAAGCCAGCTGCGGCTTGCTCAGGCAAAATGGGAGCGAGTTTTAACAATGGATGGCTGCATTACTAAAAGTTCGAGAATCCATGTAGTATATTAACATTTAATTATTAAATTAGGTAGTATATTTATTTCTTGCCCATCCCTACCTCAGTAAACATTAGCTTTATTATTTTAGCAGATCTTGGCATTGCAGTATTTGAGAACCCATGACCAATAAGAAGGGACTAACCGACATCTTGTGCAAATATGGCCCATTTTGTATGTGTGGCTTATTCACTTTCCTGATGATCAAAATACTCAAAGCAAAGTTTCATTTATACCTGGCTTGCACAAATCATAATCTGCTAGTAAGGACAACTGTAAGGTTCTGCTTGCACACTGACTTCCACATGAGAAGCTTAGATAATTGACTTTGTATACATGCATGCCTAGACATATTTCAGTTTCTTCCCCATTTTTTTCTGTACCAAATTCTGAAAGTTTTTTTTTTTTTAATAACAGACTTTGCAAATGCCCAAACTCAACCGGATTTAGGGTTTTTTAAAAATAATAAACTCCCAACTTGACTTGCATTGGATTAATTTTTCAGATACTTTTATTGTTTTTATAATTTGATGAGGACCCATAGTAGAAGCAAATAATATACAACATAATACAGTTTATGATAAAGTTTGTTTAGTTAATCCTGCTATTGTTCTTTTAATATTTGAAAAAGCATTGTTATCGAGTGTATTTCTTCACTATATTCCTTTCTGCTTTGTGGTCTTCTGTTCTTATTTGTCATTTCCCAAAATTAATAAGCAGTGCCAGATGTACAACAGAATAAATCTGCAAGTAGATTTTTCTCATTTCGCATCAATGATTTTTAATCAGACTTCATCATTTAATTCATAATGTTGATTTCAGATCCTGAATACATCTCTTAATTTCCCTTGGTTTAAGTTGTCTTTGTTAGCATTAGTGAAAAGCAAGGAATTTTAAATGTAAGAGGAGTCTTTTTCCTGTTGTTTTGTCTGTATTTTATCTTAAATTGTATCCCTGCCCCTGAAGAACAAGGTCTTGAATATCTTATTTTGCCATGTAAATGCCATAAACATCGTGATCTTTCTTGACAGTATTATTAACAATTCTTTGGGGAGAAACTGTTTTTCATATGCTTTAGCAGTATAATTGGCTTTTTTTAAGTTACCGAACAAGAGAAGAAATTCAAGAAGTGAGAAGCAAAAGCGATCCTATTACTCTCTTGAAGGACAGAATGGTGAACAACAACTTAGCTAGTGTGGAGGAGCTCAAGGTAATATTTTTTCATTTCAAATTTAATTGAAACCATTTTGCACAGGTTATGGAAGTTAGATAAAAAAGAACTTTTTCTCCAAATAATTACTGATGAGTTGGGGGTACTCTTTGTTTAATATCCACTCATTCAGTGACTGTTCAAAGTTATGATGGTGTTGAATGAGGGGTACTAATGGCAGACATGTGATCGCGATTTTGGTGCCTGGCAGCCGGCTCATAATTATGATATCGCAGCATCCGTGGCCATGTGATCACCGTTTGTGACCTTCACTTCTGACAAGCAAAATCAATGGGGAAGCCAACAGAAGATCACAAATGGTGATCATTGTGACTGCATGGGATTCACCTAACGATGGCAACTGGGGCTGCCAGAATTGCCGTTGTAAGTTGGCACGATCATGTGGCCTCACACCTTATGACCACGTTGCTTAGCAACAGTTCCCAGTTACCATCATATGATATTAACTAATAATAAAGGAAGAATCTGACGAAAGCAAGCAAATGAGCTGCAGTTGCAGGGTGACTGAAATGGAAAAGGTGGAGAAAACTGCTATGGCTTAAGGGCAGAAGAGGGAAAATATGCCAGCCCTGCCCTCCTTTCCTTCACTCTCCATGCATAGCCTATAGTGAGACTTTCCTCTCTCTCTTATCATGAATGAAGATTCTGGAAAATCAGGATCCTCAATGAGGAGTCTCCTTTAGATTTAAAGGGGAAAGAGGAACATCATGGTAGCAAATATACTTGCCTAGAAGTGAAAGCTGCTTATTGTTAGACAGCCATCTGCCTGGAATGCCTTAGTTTGGATTCCTGCACTGAAAAGGGGATTAAACTTGGATGCCTAAATGATCTCTTCCAACTCTTATTTTTTATAATCTAGTGGGACTTATTATATAAACATGCATGTTTCCTTATGCTTGCACCCCAGCACAAATAATTCTGCTTGCTTTTTGTAAATGGGGGGCAAAAAACCTACCTCCAGGGCATAATTTCTATTTTCTGTCATAATTCATGTGGATTCATCCCCACCTAAGCGTAGCAAACTTTTATATCTACTGAATTCAAGGGCCTTTCTACACAGTAATCAAGAATAGACTTGTGCTTTTTTGGGTCCATGTTTCCAGTCTGTCTGTCTGTATATTAATATGAAGACATGAAATGAAGTTCAGTTTATTTTACAAATGGAGTATGTTATTTTTTTACAATTAATTAGTAGTTTAAGTAATGTAATTAAAAAAATGGGGGGCTCAACATGTCATTTTGAGTGTTGTCTATCTAGACACACATTTGACACACTGGTGTCATAATCACACATTTATTAGGAAAAAAGCTCCAGAATTTTCTTAGCTGGCAACCCTAGTTGACACGGTACTAATTTTTGTGTGTATTTATAACCTTACATTCAGTTCATCTTCCTTTTGGGTGAAAATGGCCATGCAGTGGTATAACTGTGCTGCTGCTCTCTCAAATCCAGCTGCCCTCCCCAAAGCATTTGCCCCTGGTCAAATGGGCAGGAATTAAAGTCCAAATTATGTATTATAATTAGATAATACACAAGTTGTTAGTGGAATTCCTGTGTAGATATTCAAATATGAAAAAGGTGTAGCACATGCGTGTAACAGATATGAGGACTATTTTTTTTTAATCGTGATTAGAATTTCTGTAGCTTGAAGTATCTAGACTTATATTAGAACTATGTTTTTTTTTAAATTTTAGATTATTTATTACAGTAGCAAGCTGTTTGTTAGTAACATAAGTTTAAAGCACTTAACTATGGATTTGGGAAGGCTTTCTTCTTTTGTCCACTAATATTTTATTGTTTCTGGTGTAGGAGATTGATGTAGAAGTAAGAAAAGAGATTGAGGATGCAGCGCAATTCGCCACAACTGATCCCGAACCACCTCTGGAAGAATTAGGCAATCATATCTATTATAAAGAAGCACCCTTTGAAGTGCGTGGTCCAAATCAGTGGACTAGGTACAAATCTGTTGGCTAAGAGAGTTCTGGTTCGGCAGCCAGTTAAACTGATAGATGTTATACTGGAATTTAACTGTTACATCTGTTCTAAGGGATAAATGCCAAGTAAATTTTCAGGAGGGTGGGGAAAAGAGAAATTACATGGAATTCTGAAAGAAAATTGTACAAGAAGTAAATTAAACAAAGTTTATTAAGCTTCAGTGTGTTCTGCATCGCTGTATGATGAAAATTAGCCAGCTAAAATGGTATTAATAAAAAAGGCTCATTGAGATTTTCTGAGCGTATATTGCCATGGACTTTATGTATATCTTCGCTGCCTTCTTCCCTTCGTCACTTTTCAAGGAAAGAAGCTTTCTTCCATTGTATTTTCTTTTAAATTTGATATTTTAATATTAAAATTAAATTTTAATATTTTAAATCAGTGCTTTCCAAACTTTTTCCTTCATTACCCAAAACCGGTGATCCGGTTTTGTTCTTTTTACCCAACGTAGGTAAATTTAAGTCAATTTAAACGTCTCTGTTGTGATTGGGTAATGGGTTCATGTGTCGTCACCCAAACGAAAACCACTTTTACCCAGTTTGGGGCAATTTACCCAGGTTTGGGAAGCCCTGTTTTAAATATAATTCGAACTAATTATTTTTTGTTGTGAAACCCTGCACAATTTGAAATGTTTTGGGATTTATTTTGTTTTCACAAAATCACACAAAATGTAATACTTTACATTATACATCACCCAGATATGTTTTTAAAAGACAGCAGGTATATTAGAAAACCTTTACATTTACGTATGAGAAGCTGTACTGCATAAGATGAATTTTACATGTAGCTATG